GGCCAGGAGCGGCCACTGCCCTCCAGTCTGGGCGACAGAGTGAGACTCCAACTAAAAAAATAAAAATAAAAAATAAATAAGTAAAAGAAGGCATACCTGGGGATGCTAGAATCTAATTTAATTTTTATTTTATTTTATTTTTGAGTTGGAGTCTCACTGCATCGCCCAGGCTGGAGTGCAGTGGCACACTCATGGACACCAGTCAACCTGCCAGGCTTTGGCAATCCTTCCGCCTCAGCCTTCCAAGTAGCTGGAACTATAGGCACGCACTACCATGCCCAGAAAATTTTTGATTTATTGTAGAGATGAGGTCTCGCCAAGCTGCCCAGGCTGGTCTCAGACCCGCGGGCTCAAGTGATTCACTTGCCTCAGCCTCCCAAAGTGCTGGGATTACAGACTAAGCCACCAAGCCCAGCCCAATTTAATTTTTAAAATGAATTATCTGCAAGCTTCGTTTTTGACACAGGAGCCACAGCTCATCTCCTTAGCCAAGTGTCACCTGGAACCAGGAAGGACACCCCAGGGCTCTGGATTGGGACTGTGGCCTCTCCACTTCTTGAGAAATAGTTTTCTGACACAGATGTTACTCGTAGTCATTTACCTTCTGAGTCCAAAATAGCCCAGATGTCCCATTGGTTTAGTTAAAATCTCCATCTGACTGCTCTGTAGAGGCTGAATATGTTTCTGTTTTGTCCGTGGATGCAGAGCTATTTTCAGAGCTCTTAACCCTGAACTTGAAGCTGTAGGCAGATAGTGCATGTGTGCCATCTACACCCTTAGCTGGGAGAGGAGCTGCGGCTTTTATCATGTTCCCAAAGGAATTCTTGACTCCCAGAAAGCTTGGTCTACACATAACCATTACATAAACCAGGGTTTGGCAGATTCTCTGAAGAGGCCAGCGATAAATATTTTCAGTTTTTCAGCTAGAGCGCGTCTGCCCCAACTCCTCAAATCTGCCATTTTGCTGTAGAAGCAGCCATAGAATGTGTAAAAGGACAGACAAGCCATGTTCTGAAGAAACCTACAGGATGAAAACTGCTGGCATGCCAGGTTTGATTCTCTCGTCAGTTTGTCAACTCCTGGGTATGAGCATGAAATGGAAGAAGCTTCAGTAACTCGAACATCCCCCTCTTGTATGTACATTCTTCCTGCTTCCACCCATGAGCCAGGACAGTCTTGTGAGGCACAGCACTAAAATCAAAGTGGAAATTAGGTGAGGCATTTAATATGATCCACGAGTGACACGTTACCAGTTTCTTACTTTTGCATGTGAGTTTCTCACACACTGAAAGCATTCTAACTTATTTTAAATTACCCTAAGTGTTCATGACATAAGAATATGTTGCGAATAGACTTGATTAGGAAATCTTTAACTTTCCTCCTTTAATTTTTTTTTAAGTTAGATTCTCACTCTCGCCCAGGCTAAAGTGCAGTGACATGATCATGGCTCACTGCAGCCTTGACCTCCTGGGTTCAAGAGATCCTTCCACATCAGCTTCCCAAGTAGCTAGGAGAACAGGCACAGCCACCATGCTGGCTAATTTTTTTTTTTTTTTTTTTTTTCTTGTAGAGATGTGGTCTCTCTCTGTTACCCAGGCTGATCTTGAACTCCTGGGCTCAAGCAGTCTTCCTACCTCAGCCTCCCAAAGTGCTGGGATTATAGTCATGAGCCACCATGCCCGACCTGCCTTTCTTTCCTTTTAATCCTGAGTTTTGTATACAGTTTAATATTAAACTCTGCTTAGTATTTCTGGGAGAGAAGCTGGCAGAGCAGGAGAATCTTCATGGTATGTTGCTAATCCTCCTAAAATTGACCGATGTATTGAATTTCTGGTTCAACATCACTCTTCACTTGAAAGTGTAAAAGCATTCTAGAAAAATAAATAGTGTCTTCTCATTGATTTCTGTTATTTAAAAAATGTTTAAGACAGGCTGATTTTTGACTAGGCCTAAACCCTACAGAAAATGCCATCTTTAGGAAGTCATCCTTTCTGTATTAGATGACCAGAGGTGCATGTTACCCACAGCTCTCCCAAGACCCGTCCTCACCATGCACTGCATGCGGCAGTGAGGCGGGCACTCATGGTGGGTTCTGTGTCATTTCTTCAACAGTGTAACATGCACAGACACTCAGAGAAGTGTGACCCAAGCCAGGAGAAGTCAGCCACCTCGGGAAAAAGAACAAGAAAGAGAAAGCAAACAGCCCCCAAGGACACAGGAAAGGAAGACGGTACCTCATTTTAACCAAATTTGTTTTTCATTTGACGGTGATTTACGGGTTGTAAATGTCCTGCATACCAGGAGTTACTGCGCAGTAGCGCAAGGAACGTGCCCAGAACCCCTGTGTGTCAACCAGGCAGTCCTGCCAGGCGGCTCACGTGCCAGACCCACTCTGGCAGGTTTTGGTGGTCAGGGGAGTGGACCTAATTCGTCAGCTGCCCCTAGAATTGCAATGGGGAGAGCATGGGAAAATCTGTTGGCGGGAGAGCCCCAGGTGGGTCCATACCCTGACCCACAGGTTTTTCATGAGACGGGTTCACTTGGCCAGGTGGCAGACACATGTGCCCACCGGCCCTGAAAGCTCTACTCAGTCATGTAGGACTGTCACCTGCAGCTACGGGGACTGTCCCAGGGCTGCCACAGCAAGTGACCACACACTGGGTGGCTAGAACGGTGGAAATTGATTCTCTTGTGGCCCTGGAGCCCAGAAATCCCTGACCAAGTTGCAGGCAGGGCTACACCCTCCTGGGGGCTCCAGGGTAGGGTCCCTCCTTGGCTGTGCCCAGGCACCTGTGACTGTGGCCCCATCACTGTGGTCTCTGCCTCCATTTTCACGTGACTTTCTCCTCTCTTCTGTGTCCGTGTCTTTCCTCTGCCTCTTATGAAGACACTTGTCACGTAGGATTTAGTACTTGTTTGGGAAGTCCAGCATGACCTCATCTCGAGACCCTTAACTACATGTGCAATGACCCCCCTCCCCCTTTTTTTGAAGTCATAGTCCCACTCTGTTACCCAGGCTGGAGTGCAGTGGCACCATCATGGTTCACCACAACCTGGACTCCTGGGTTCAGGTGATCCTTCTGCATCACCCTCCCGAGTAGCTGGAACTACAGACACGCACTATCACACACAGCTCATTTTTATATTTTTGTTAGAGACAAGGTCTTGCTATGTTGCCCAGGCAGGTCTCAAACTCCTATGTTCAAGTAATCCCCTCACCTTGGTCTCCCAAAGTGCTGGGACTACAGGCATGCACCACCAGCCCAGCCCCTTTTTTCAAAAAGGGTCACTTTCCCAGGGTGGGGGTTAGGACACGGATACATCCTTCCGGGTCCTCCATCAGCCCCCAGCAGGCCTCACAGCCCTCCCCTGGCGTCAGGGAGCTGCCATGAGTTCCCAGGTTAGCGCAAATGGTCTGCACTGTGGATCCCATGGACGGCTCTGCTCCTGGGAACCTGCACAGGTGAGCCCATGCTGCGTACCTCCTCGTTCCTTTCCTGTGAAAACCTCGGCATGGCAGAGAAGATCGAAACCCAGACGAGAGTGTGGCCAAAGCACGTCCTCATTCTTAGAACACCCTGCGCGTGGACTCCAGCCGCAGTCCCTGACCTCGACAGCTCCCACAGATAACCACGACCCCATCGGCTGCCTGCTTTCAAGGGTGACAGGTTCACACAGGGCCACCCCATTACATCTGAATCTCAGCTAAACAACAAGTCGTTGCTTAATGTAAATATCCTCCATGTGCTGCTGGGGATACACCGTTCATCTGAAACACAAGGAGAAGCAGCATCCTGCAGTCCTGTCTTCCGCTCCGTGCAGAGTGGACTTTGGGTCTCTCTGTCACTCTCGGTTACTTTCTCTCTGTCTCGCCATCTGACAAAACTCAAGCCCTGACGCGTCCCACACCCACCTTCTCCCATCGCTCCCTCAGCTAGGACTGTCCGGAGCGGTGCCTGCTGCCCGTCCCTGGAACCCGTTCCTTCCTCCCCAGGAGTCAGCGCTGACCATTAGGACTTGCCAAGGCCCTTGTGTACTGACTGCAGCCCTCTGCAGCGGAAGGGAGCAAGTGGAATCTTAAGGCAGAGCTGGGCCTGCCTTTAACAGGTCAGGAAGTGAGGCTGCCCGAGCCTGGAGCCCGCATTCTGAACACGGCACCAGTGGCCTTGCCACGGTTTCCAGCAGCCGCCTCTCGCCCAGCTCCCAACCCCTTCCCCAAGATGGGTCCTGCTGCTGGCCACCCCACAGGTCCATGTTCCCCACTCCCAACTGGAGTCACTCTCCCTGCCCCCTCCACCAGCTTCTGGGCTTCTCCATCCAGCCCACGGGCACAAGTGTGGCTCAGGTGTGAGTGTGGGCTCAGGTGTGGACCTAGGCAGCTTTTCATCCCCTCCCCCTCTCTCTCTGGGCCAACTTGTCCCTCTCGGCCTGGTCTTTCCTGGCAGCCTTAAACATCCTCGACATCTTCAGAAAAAATGCATGCCCTTTGCAGGACTCCCCACCACACTGGCTCCCCATTCTGACCCCTGTCATGCACTTGAGCAGCCAGGCATCCTGTTGCCACCTGCCCCTGCCCATCTGCCTTCTGTCCCCACCAGCCACCTAAGGTCGCCAGAGGCCCTTGTCACTACAGTTCACTGATTCTTCCCTGTTCTCCACCACCTTCTGCACCACTGCCCGTCCACTGTCCTGTCCCCCCCTCCTCTGTGGTCCCAACACATGGTCCTGGGGTCACCTGCAGCCACTCCTGCCCTTCCTCCACTGCAGCCCCATCTTCTACCCACAGCTCCTCCACTGTCCTCCTTGCAGGCGGCCTGGCTTCCTCAGGTGATAGGTCTGTGCCTGTGTCCTCAGCTGCACCCATGCCTAGGCTCACACCTGAGCCCACACCTGTGCCTAGGTCCACACCGAAGCCCACATCCGTGCCTAGGTCCACACCTGTGCCCACATTCACACCTGAACCACACTTGTGCCCAGGTCCACACTTGACCCACGTCTGTGCCCACATCCATACCTAAGCTCACATTCATGCCTAGGTCCCCACTTGAGCCCACACCCATGCCTAGGTCCACACCTGAGCCCACACCTGTGCCCACATTCACACCTGAACCACTCTTGTGCCCAGGTCCACACCTGACCCATGTCTGTGCCCACATTCACACCTGCACATCTGTGCCCACATCCATACCTAAGCTCACACCTGTGCCTAGGTCCACACCTGTCCCCACATCTGTGCCTAGATCCACACCTGCACCTTCACTTGCACCTAGGTCCACACCTGAGTCTCCATCTGTACTCTTGCCTGCACCTGCATCCATGCCTGTGCCTAGCTCCACACTTGTGCCCATGCCCACACCATCTCTGGTGTCTTCGGTCTCTGCCAGCGGACAGATCACTGGTGATATGAGGCTTCTTTCCCTGCCTGCCTTTGAAACCTGGGTGTGACTGTTCACCTGCCCAGTGGCATCTCAGACTCTACCTGTCCCCAGCTGAACTCCAGGTGTCTCCTCCCTCAGCCCTCCTGTCCTCAGTCTGTTCTAAAAACTGGATCTGCATGGATGTCAGGGCCTGAGACCTGAGACTCGCTGAAGATCCCCTCACTGAAGTTGGAAAGTCACCTGACCTCACCCTCCAGCCATGTACACCTGCATCTATCCCTGTCACCGCCCTGGACCAGAGCACCCCTCTCTGCCCCTCATGAGCTGCCAAGGGTCTTTCAGAGGCTCACGTGGGCCCCCTCTATCCTCACCTCCTCCAATTACACCTTCTTTGGACACCCAGGCTCCAAAGACTGGGACATGGCACATGGCCAGCCTGCCTGCCCACCCCAGCCCAGCCATGCTGGCCCCTCTGTCCTCAACCAGGCAGGCGCACCCTTTCCCTTCCTGGAATTCCCAGTGACTCTGCTCCCTGTGGGTTCTTGAGTCTCAGCTCCAGCTTCCTGACTGGGCCAGCCTGCTTTATGGGTGCTCCTGGGACCAAACCCTGCACAGTTACATGACCACTCAGTAAGTGCTGGTGCCCCTTCACTGTACTGTCCTCCATTGCAGGCCTGGTCCATCAGGACTGTTCCTAGCACCAGCCCGGGCATGGTGCTAGCCAGTGCTTGTTAATTCAGCACTTGTTGAATAAACGAGTGAATAATGAACACACTTACTGGACAAGACAGGCAGGTGAAACTGGACTCAACCCTTCAGACATCCTTGTGGGGGTCCAAAGGCTGGATCCCAGGATCCCAAGCTCTGGGATAGGACAGAGCCTGCGATGTTCGTGGAAGAATATGACCCCCGGCTCATGAGAAACAGGCCACAGCTGCAGTGCCCCCTCTTGGCACCAACTGTACCATTTCTAGAAACCTGTTAAATGAAAACTTTGGAATACAATGATTTTGGATGGATTTGAAAATGTCACTCTCAGTCCGTGACATTTTTGCTGCAGAGAAAGTTGGGGACAGAAAAACATACCCGCCTTCTGCCGGGACACTGGGCAGCTGTCGAGGAGCACCCGTCCCTGTCACCCTGAGCTGCCATCTCCTAGGCATGCCACTCCGACACCAGTGCTGACGCGCATGAAAACGTATTAAGGAGGTAAAAGATGGGTCCGGAACCCTTTCTCCTCCATTTCTTACACAGAGTATCCTTCAGACAAGGTTACAAAGGCACCCGGCAGTGCTGGCTGCCCCGGCTCTTCTGTCCCAGCAGGACAGGGCTGAGAGCTCTCGTGGCTGTAGAAGCTGCTGGTCATAACATCGGACATCTGAAAGCCATTTTCATAGTCTCAGCTGTTGTGCCCAAAGCAAAGTGTGAATGAAAGCAGGTAACCTGGCTCGTGTTAACTGGAAATATGACTTCATGTGCATGTCAGGATTTTGGTGGCCCGTGTTATCCAGGTCATTGTCTCATTTCGGCTTTGCTGTGCTGGTGAGATGCTTTCTGTTCCCTCACCAGTTCATCATAGACCTTGACAGGTGCTGTCTAATGGCACCTGTTCTGTCAAGCTCAGTGTTGATTTTCATACATAAGAACCAGGTCTTAGCTGGGCTCGGTGGCTCAGCCTGTAATCCCACGCTTTGGGAGGCTGAAGTGAGTGGATTGCCTGAGCCCACGGGTTCGAGACCCGCCTAGGCAACTTGGCGAGACCTCTTCTACAATAAATCAAAAATTAGCCGGGCGTGGTAGCACGCGCCTGTAGTTCCAGCTACTTGGAAGGCTTGAGGCGGAAGGATCGCCGGAGCCCAGCAGGTCGAGGTTGCGGTGGCCAGGAGCGGCCACTGCACTCCAGTCTGGGCGACAGAGTGAGACTCCAACTCAAAAAAAAAAAGAAAAAGAATCAGGTCTTCTCACCTTCTTCCCTACCCCTTAAAAAAATACTTCAGAGAAGCACAGGCAAAATACCTTCAGACAACTTTGAACTAACCTAAGGTAATAGCATTTTTTTTTAGGAGATAGGGTCTTTCTTTGTCATTCAGACTAGAGTGCAGTGGCATGATCACAGTTCACTGCATGCTCAAACCCCTAGGCTCAAGCAGTCCTCCCACTTTAGCCTCCCAAGTAACTAGGACTATAGGCGTCCACCATCACACCTGCCTAATTTTTATTATATTTTATTCTCCTTAGAAATGGAATCTCGCCGTGTTGCCCAGGCTGGTCTTGAACTCTTGGCCTCAAGCAATCCTCCTGCCTCAGCCTCCCAAGTAGCTGGGATTTCAGGCGGTAAATGTGATGTTTTTAAATGGGATGTTTCACGGGTGTTCTTGGGAGGTAAATTGGAAAACAAACAGAAGACTAAACATGGGTTGGTTCACAGCGATATGTTTCCAACCCCCCAGTTGTGCTGACTGGTCTGTAGGCTGATGGAGGTTTTGGCCTGGGTGTGCACCCAGGGTGGCCACAGTGTATCCCTAGCAGGCCATGTGACCCGGAGTCAGGACTCAGTGCATGTTGATTGGCCAAAGAGATAGATGCCCTGTGAGCTGCTGGCTTTTTTCATGTTGGCAGTGTCACTTCACGTGTACTGAGACAAGACTTAAGGGAGCAGCTCAGCCACAGTGCTAGTCTGTACGGTCCACATTCGGCTGACAGCAGTGATTCCCAGCTGGGAGTGACACATGGCAATGTCTGGAGACCGTTTTAGTCGTGACAGCTGAGGAGGAGGGTGCTGCTGGCACCTGGTGGGTGGAGGCCAGGTCACTGCCCACATCCTGCAGCGGCCAGAACAGCCCCTGGCCCAGCAGAGAGCCCCTGGCCCCAATGTCTCTAGTGCTGAGGCCAAGAAACCCCGACTCAAGGCAGGGCATTGTGCTCAGAGCATTTTTACCGTCCTGTAGGCAGGAAGGGTGTCGTCTAACACCCACATAGCCATGTTCAGATCTAAGTGATTGTCTCCAAGATGTATTTGCACGGTGGATTGATTGCAGTCCCTTGGCTTTCTGTTTAATTGGCTCCCCCCATGCCTTTCTCCCAAGAAGCAGCCATGCAGGAAACTGCCGTGGTGAGGGGAGCACAGTTCCCAGGTGAGGCACTCGTAGACTACAGAGAAGCCACAGCCGGTGTGGAGGACCCAGATGAAGGCATGACCTGCGAGATGCTCCTTAACATGATGGATAAATGATGGGACACGGGATACACTTTTTATAGTCCTTCCTTCTTAAAGCAAGACAGACATGTTTAGCATCTTGTTAAGTTCATCGCAATGGATGATCACAATTTTCCAAAGTTTCAGGTAGTGTTTAGAATCGTTTGTCTACTTTTTACTGCATAATTAATAAAAAAAAACATTGCAGGTATTTTATAAAAGGCTTAACCTTGAATCAGAGAGTAACACCTTAAACCCATGATTTCATTCACTTGATATTGGCAAGGTGGCCCACAAGGAATGAGTGGTGACTTCTGGATAGTAGTCACTTCAGTAAATAGTCTAGACCAGCAAGTATTTAGCAAACAGCCAAAGTGGGACAATGATACGTTGACTTGTACACACCCATAATATTTCTAATGTTATGATTTTAAATACGAAAGACTAATTTTACATCCTTTTTTATACAAATGAATTTTCTGTAAACTGTAAAGCTATCATAATGCTTTTAGTTGTAGATTCAACCAAAAGGACCTTAATGTTGTAAAAAAAGAAAACTGAGTAGAAAACTATGAAAAACTAGATTAGACTAGAAAATAGCGATTCATCTCTTTGACTTTGGAGTGGGGGCAAGATTCACCCTTGGGTTTTTGAATTCTCTTTCAATTACACTCCTTGGCAGGTGTGCATCTGCTGGTCACCTTCCATTCGTGCCTATGAGTGTGTCGTCCATAACCCTCTTGTTCTGCTAAAAGGGTGTTCTTTGTGTTTTTAAAAATAGTGAGAAGAAACATGAAAATCTGCTGATGAAAATGTGTACTAGTAAAGATGGTGTACTTTTTTATAACTCCCGACAATGAATGTATTTCTCTTTAGCCAGCTAAAGAGACTTCTCCACACTCGGGCTGCCTGAGAAACGCCTCTTTAGTGCTTAAAATTAACTAGTCCCTGTCTTTATAACAATTCAGATTTTTCTCCTTTGCCTAGTTCAGCAGCTGCTTGTGCTGTGAACCTCTCAAACCCCCCACCCCCTCTACCATATTTCAAAATTCACACCGGTTGTAAATTCAGATTCTTAAAATTTTGATCTGTTGTTAAAAGTATCCCAAGTTCAGGAGCTCTGGACGGTGTGAACAGGTGGAAGTAATTTCCCAGTAGGTTAGGCAAGTTCAATTTACTTAATAAAGCCTGAATTCTGTGGCCCATCATATGCTGCCATTGTATAGATTTTTGTGATGGTTTCTTGGTTTTCAACTGTTGTTTAAAGATATTTTACATAATTCAATAAAATGAAATGACTTGACTTGCCATCGTTGTGATATGTCAGTGGCAGTCCTCAAAGGTGTCTTCGTCTGGAGAGGGTGTAAGACAGTCGGAGTCCCTGAGCGCCGCTGGTGGGGTTGGGAGATGGTGCAGCTGCTATAGCAACATTATCCACAATAACCAAAAGTGGTAGCGACCCAGATCCCACCGATATGCGAACGGATAAAGAAAATGTGGTGTGTACACACCTTGGAGTGTTGTTCAGCCTTAAAGATGGAAAGAAGCCCTGTCGCACGCTGTAACACAGAACATGGAAACTTGAGGATGTTACGCCAAATGAAATAAGCCAGTCACAAAAGGGCAAGCACTGTCTGACTCTACTCCTGTGAGCTACCTAGAAGATCAGATTCATGGAGACAGAAAGTAAGATGGTGGTTTCCAGGGCAGGGGGGAGGAATGGGAAGTTTGTGTTCAACGGGGACAGAGTTTCTGTCTGGAAAGATGAAGAGTTCTAGGGATGGGTGTGAGGGGTGGGTGGGCAGCAATGTGAAAATGCCCAACCCACCAGACTACACATTCACAAACAGTTACAATATTTTACTACAATTAACTGTATTTTACTACAATTAACTTTTCTAGTTTAAAGAATAGATCGCGTATAAAACCTGTTTGAAAATGGAAGCCTTGTAGTAGCTAAACGTCAAAACCTTCTCGTTAACAGATGCTTCTAAGTGATTACAGTATTTTGCGTGTGTTGCACCTGGCTGAGACATTATGTGGAACAGAATTCAGATCGGATGGCCGATGGGAACTTTTGTGTGCTGGGGCTCTCACCAAGCATCTGGGTAGAAGGTGGCACTCACCTGGCCCAGGGCCCAGTCCACACACTTGCTTGTGTCAGAGACGCAGTGACAGTGATTCCCACAAGAGGGCAGTCACTTCCGCCTTTTCCAGTGTTGAGCCAGGTTCCCTATTCAAGTAAGAAGCAGGTGGTTACAGTAAAGTCTTGGCAGTTGTATTCATTTTGTACCATTTAGAAAGAGAGAGGGAAAAAGGGGGTTGTATTTAACAGTAGAGGAGGATTTTTACGTATGTGGTCGCTGAGTAAGAGACGCTCTAACAAGGCCTGGGAGGGAGGCCCTGGTAGCTCTGAGCGTGAGTGAGTTCCAGAGGGGCATTCCTTCAGGACACCTCTGCTGGAAAGAGTTTTGAGACCCAGCAGGAAATAATTCTGGAATGTACAGAATTACTCTTTCACGGTTTAATATCTCTGTTTTGCAGGGTGGGGTGTTTAAATTACAACACTGCTTGACAACAGTTTTACTATATTAAGGATGGCTTGTAAACAAACCTGAGACCTGACTAATGCCGGGAACAAACCCTGTTGTTTGAGATCAGCTGCTGAGAAGGCGGTTGTGATGGTGCTGGCCCCAAGGAAGCTGTAGTCGCTTGCTGTGATCAGGTTTGACAGCCACCCTTGAGGATGGCAGGATACTGTCCTGGTATTCTTTGCAGCATCAATACTTCATTTCTTCTGATAACAGTGGCTAATCTCTTTGAAGAGTCTCTTTGACTTCTTCACAGCTATTAGGGTGAATGGGCATTGTCATTTCTGCTCACACATATTCAGCTAAAGCCTCAGGACGTCTGGTGGATCACCGTTTCTACACCTCCTCATTCCTTCATTGCAGTTCATGTTGAATCGAGCCTATCAGGTAAACACAGATTTTAGGTGGCAACCCAGCTGATGACACTATTCTTAGTAACTTGGATCACTTCCAAGGCATAGCTGTGTTTGTGAACTTGGTTCCTCTAAATCATGACCTTGTAAATTGTGCATAGTGTGGCATCTCAAGAGGCACATGCTTAAGTTTCTGTGCAATGTGGGTGGAGCACACACGGGGGGCTCACTGTGCTTGTTGGACAAAAAGTGCCACAAAGTCTTCACTGAGTCACCGTGGATGGGAAGCTGGCCACAGATGTCACACAGAAAGACTGCAGACAGTCATAGTGAAATTCTCCTCTCGTCAAAGGACACACGTGCTGTCATTTCCTGTGACTGGAGTGTGGCAGTTTGTATATGAGTCTGAAAAGGCTGCTGATTAAAAGACTCGTCCTGATAATTTGTGATCATACCCCAAGGCCCGAATGGTCGAAAGAAGTAAAATAACAGAAAACAGTCCCCTAAGACAATACGTCAGCAGCAGTCACCATCTCCCACAGAAGAGGCTACGCTTTCTCTTGCTTTTCCAGGGTGGCACCTTCACCATGTGGCTGTGTGAAAACTTTCAACACGTGCTTGTTTGTGGGAAGAAGCTCAATCCCGTGTTTTACAGCACAAGAACCCCTTTTCCCACTAAAATTGGGAGTAGCGTGCTTGCAGCATTGATACTACCTGTGAGTACTGACGAAACAATTTTAAAAGAGATCCAAGGATTTTCTTCTGTTAGATAAGAACAACTATTTTGTCAGTTAAATAATTTATCTTAAGTAGAAAAAACAGTTTTGTTCCACAAGCACACCCAGTTTGGCTGATCCCATAGAAGGATTAAATCCAGCTGCCTCAGAGTTCAAAAATTCATGTAATATGTATATATATAGCGAGAGAGAGAGAGACATACTCTATATTCATATATGTATCCATTCTATATATATAAATGTATGGACCCATACCATATAATGCTATATAATATGTGGACCATGCTATATCTAAATATATCTATATCTACATACATGAACCCATTATTTATATATACATATATATATATATATACATGTGTCTGTGTATATATATGTATATATGGATCCATGCTATATAATATATGGACCCATTTTATATGAACCCATATATATACCCCATGTTATCTATCTATCCGTCTGTGGACTTACTATATAATATATGGACCATGCTGTCTCTGTATATGGACACATGCTATATGGACCCAGGCTATGTATTATATAGACCATGCCTATACATATATATATATATATATACAGTTATATATGGACCCATGCTATGTAATATATGAATCCATTATATATATATATATATAAATATATATAAAACCATGCTGTGTATCTATGGACTTACTATATAATACATGGAGCATGTTCTCTCTATATGGACCATGCTATAAATATCTCTCTCTCTCCATGCTATATGTATGTGAACCCATGCTATATAACATATGGACTATGCTGTACATTAATATATTATATGGACCCATGCTATATTTGACTATTGAACACCTGCTGGTCCTTCATGGCGGATGTGAAATGTACGTGCCCGACGTGAAGCATAGGTGTGCCCTGAGGCCCTGGGCTGGGCATCTGGCCCTAGGCTTGGAGCACTTCTAGGATTCTGACCAGACTTTACAGCTTAAGATGAAGCTGAGAAGCGTATGGCCACATAGAAAGACCCGTCTCTGTTATTCTTAGAAGCTTAGGTGGACGTGGACCACATAGGACTTGAATGGAAGACTGCATGATCTTACCTGTGCTCATGGGCTTTGGGGCCCACAGTCACCCAGAAACAGCCAGGAGATCCTGACTCCATGCCAAGGGAGGAGCTTGAAAAAAGTCCCCACAAACACGCTAAACATTTTTTTTGTTTTTGAGTCAGAGTCTCACTCTGTCACCCAGGCTGGAGTACAGTGGCACGCTCCCAGCCACAGCAGCCTCGACTTGCTGGGCTCAGGCGATCCTTCCGCCTCAGTCTTCCAAGTAGCCTGAACTACAGACGCACGCTACCATACCCAGCTTATTTTTTGATT